CCCTTAGACTTAACTTTTTACAAACCCTCTGTGGCAGCGCACTGAGATGCTTCAGAGAAGAAATGACTTTTCCAGATATGTAGAGCAAAAATGAGTTAAGGTTCATCATTCCAATATTTTCCCTCAGTTGCTGGGAGTAGAGGACATTTGCAGTCCCTTTTGACACATTTTAAGATTTATAAGCTGTCCGTGTACACGGTTGCCAAACTTTGAGGGAAAAATTCTCCTATGGCTTCTTTACAAGCCGTGCACAGAAACCTCACCACTTCCATTTATATATGTAATACATAAAAACTTTACCAGCAGCTTTTCCACTGAGAGGACATTTTACTATTCTGTAACGCTGGTATAATTTATATTTGAAAAGATGGCTTTTAAACGGCAGTGGTAAAGAACAAAACCCTCAAATGTTGAGGCAGCATGAGGGCAAACTCAGCAAAAAATGAATTTCCAAAACACCGTAATTCTTTGAAATATCTCTTCATTCAAAATTCTGTACTAGTAAGGGAATCCCCACGCAGAAACACAGCTTTTTCAAAGTGGAGATTTTAGCCAACCTGAGCATATGAGCAGCACTGAAGACCACATCAAACTCAAAGTTGTCCAATTCTGCGGCTCTTTCCGCCATCTCTGCAGCCTCGCCAAGACGGGACTGCTCCAACAGAAATTGTCCTGGAAAGAAAGAAAGATGAGGGTAGCAGAAGTTCTGTTAAGAACCTGTTAGCTCCTGTGTCACAGAAATGGAGCTTATTCCTAAGTCCAGTATGGAAGATCTGTAATCACTCATCTGTCTGCTTCTTGGGTGTTCAGCTGCTAGTCTTTTCTTTACATCTCTTCCATTTACCCATCCCGTCAGACTCAATACTGACATCATTTTGCACGTTTTGCAAGCTGTGTGCTTTAAATGTCAGTGCTTTTTCTGTCATTCTGTCTTTCAGACTGTTATTTGTGCGAGACACGTCCTCCCCATATCTGCCTCACATTGGTCATCCAGAACCCCATCCAAGCCTCCATCTTCCCCACCTGCAGCTTCTAGACTCCTAATTTTAAAACAGATTAGCGTAATTCTGTATCTCAATAAATCCTGTCAGTTTTTTCCAAATGATGTCGCTTTATTGAAATATATTGATAGTACCCAGAACATGTATCATTATGCTTCAGATTCAATTCATCTACTAGATGTAGAAATATTTTAGTACATTTCATATAGGGCCATTATTAGTTCAAAATTTCAATTTATTCCTACTACTAATAAGACTTTTTGCATCAACACTGAAAATTCCGGCATACTGACATTAGCATTTAATTTTAAAAATAACAGTGCCTAAGCAAATCGTTATATACAAAATAAAGATACCAGAGCTACGGGGGCTTTTTGTTTCCTTTTCAATTTTACCAAGCAAATGCACAACTGTATTCCTTGTTATCGCACTGCAGCAAACCAATGGGATTGGAATGAGATGGGGACATCTTGTAGAAGAGTAATGACAGGTAAAGATGGTGACTGGTGTGTAAAGAAACGAAGATGAATGGAAGCTGAGTAAGAAATGAGTGAGACAGAAAAAGAGGCAGGGAAAGCAGGAGACAAGTCAGACAGTGATAGACTGAAGGATTGTTGTTTTGCTCGGCAGCGTTTGAGAACACAGATGAGACGCAGGTTTTCATGGGTTTTCCTGTGTGAGTCTTGCCACCTGGTTCAGCACCTTCAACTCCCTGCACCAGCGGCTATGAATGAACAGCCAAGCCTAACCACAGATGTTACAGAATGCTGGAAAAAATTGCAATGTAGGGATAAACTCAGGTGTATGCCTGTTTGCATTCTTGCACTGAATGCTAACTGTGTTTGCCTGAGATTCCCAAAAACCAAGCGCACTCCAAAGGAGACTACCTAGAAATGGTTCTGCATTAAAATGAGAACAATGACAGGAAAGGGGTCTTTGTTTTAGCTTTCACCCTCTGTGTCCTTCCTTCCGAGCACATCTTTGTACGTGTATTTGGTGTTCTATAATGTGAACAGATAGCATCACTCCTAACATACTCACACCTGGAGATCATCCAGTGACCCCAGGATAGCAAAGGCAGCCAGATGTGCGATAAAAGGAGGAGGCAGCCCAAATAAACAGCACTTATAGCAAAAAGCTACAACATAACATTGGAAAAAAAGAAAATGGAGAGAAAGAGCGTAAGGACTTCAGAAGGGGAAACTGCTTCGTCCAAAGTCAGCAGCAGACAGACCCCTCATACACTGACCAATCTAAACTCAAAACCAAAGATATCAGTGCGGAGAAAGCACCAGGAGGAATAGAAGGAGATAAGAGGAGAAAGGGACAATGCACAATGGTGCTTTGAGCGGGATAACACAGAATTCATTTCCTATGAAAATCCCAGAGATAGCTCCTTGGAGCAGCAGGGAATCTGTTCCTCCAAGCTGATATGAAAAGCCTCAATAACAGCGGCGTGGGAGGAACACGGTACCGTGTTTAACAATCGTAAAATGTGTATTCAGACTCTGTCTTCTCACGCAGATAAACGCAGCATACGTGGCTTTTTCTGAGTGTGTTTGCACCATCTGCAACGCTTCAAACAGCTCCAACAGTGCCAGCACTGATACGAAGAAAAAAAATGAAATGACAGCGTGTTACCGCCATTATTTTACGGAACTCTAATAAAAGCGCTGAGAGATTGGACATTTCTGGATTATTAACTCCCAGCTTTGATTTTTTCTTTCCCATAATTCTTATCGAGTTACATAAGCAATCAGAGTGGAACCAGTGTGGTTTATAACATTATTTGTCAAATGACATGGTAAATTTAATTGCACTCTGAGGGTGACGCCATTAAGTTTTTGTCTTGGTTTGTGGAGGGTAAAGAATTGCGAGTGTGAGCACAGCTGAAGGCAGCAGAGGCCGATCATAACCGTATTAATGCAACGCCTTACAGTACTGGCAGCCATGCATGATTTAGCTGGTAGAGAAACACTTCAAACTAGATTGTCGCTAAAATAACTTCAAAACTGTCCATCAACTACAGGCAGACACTTCTGAAGATAAAGGCATTCATGGTTTTATAATTAGAATATCTATTTTTAAACAGGCTTTGTTTAACGTGTCTCTAAATAAATCTTTTAATATATTTCTTACCGTAGTGCATGTAGCAGTTTCCTTTCGTCGGGTCTAGATGAATAGCTCTCAGGTAATATCTCTCCGCTTCTGTTTTCTGCCCCTTAAAAAACAAAAAGCAACTCAAGTCATTATAAATGATGGTTGAACATGATTTTTTTTTTGAGAGGTTTTTGTTACATCCTTGATTATTCCACTGATACAACATAACCTGAACACTGCAGGCCTGAAAGAAAGAATACTGAAATAAATGCACTTCGGGGTAAACCAATACTGCCAAACACTTGTTCATTCATAAGCTCCTCTTTTCCCATCAAATTAATTCTTTTTAGCTGTAAAGACAGCTCTGAAATCTAATATACATACTAAAGATTAAAACAAAGGGTTAAAAACATAAACCTTAAAAAAAGCTAAACCTACTTTCAGCTGCTCTCGTATTCACAAGGGTTCACCACAGTAGGTATCGCAACATGTTTTATTTGGCACACTTTTTATACCAGATGCCTTTCCTGACGCAAACCCAAAGGGATTTGCGTCTCCTCCCAGGATGGAACAGGGAAGCTAGGCAAATGGTGAATGTTTAAACCACAACACTATTGTTTCGACATGGTTTAAAATGGTATAGATTATGCTGACCACCCACAGTACATATTATATAACACACAATATGTATAGCTGGGCCTGAGCATGTATTTCTTTGCATCTGAAAAACTGTAGTGCATCAGCAGGCCTCATTTGAGTCAGAGCAACCCAATTTCTTTGTATCTGCAGAAAAGAGACGCTATTAAAAAACACAGCCGCACAATCTCTCATGCCAAACCGTTAGAGGAAAAACCTCCAAGGTGTTGGTGTGGGCACATTTGTGTGCAGACTCTATTGCCTCTGTTCACGAGGCTGAATTTCTCCATCTCTTTTGTTTCACACGTCTGCGCCGATTGCTTCTATATTGTCATGCAACAAGAAATGAGAGGGCAGGGCTCATTAGGCTTGCTTCATTAGCTTCTCCCAGTGCCGTCAATCGCTCTGAATGACCGAATATCAGGCATACATGGCTTATTTCACATTTTCTTTGGCTCCATACTCTTTACATTCAATTAAACCTTTTCCCTAAACATCCATCAGAAAGTACAGTGGTTCAGTCCATTTAGGTAGAAGCAAATCATCATTTAGCAGATTTATGGACGAGTTCAGGTCAGTGGAAAAAGGATGATTTTTAAACAACTATCAAAAGGATATTCCCTGATTTGTAGCTGAGTAAAAGGTTAGTTTAGGTGCTTCTACGTACTTTATCGTGCGGTCTTCCACAGTGCGAGACCATAGTTAGAATTAGTGCCGAATTATCCAAATATACGGCTGAGATTAAAGTCATAAGTCTCATGGTGTTGAATGACCACAAATTTCCTTAATGCACACCACACCACTCTGACTCCAGCAAGATACGTCTGACAGACAAGGAGGCCTGTAATATAGTGGAAAGAGTACACTAGCGGCTTTGGAGTTGCACTTGTTATTTGCTCACGGATGTGGACGTGTGCAAGACTATCAGGTTCTGCCTATTATTTTGTGGATTTACACATGTAGCTTTTTTGTGGGCAGCTTTGAAAGCTGAAATGTGGTCGCTTTCGAGCTAAAATATTCCACGTTTCAAAGAAAAACAGTGCAGGCTGGGGTGAACCACAGTACAAGGCTCGAGTTTGACCTTTCCTTCCCCTGTCTGTATTGTCGATTGACTCTAGCAGGATGGCCAGAAATGTAGCCGATGGAGTGATTCAATAAGGAAGGGGAGTAATTGAATAATAAGCCCATCCACTGGCCTATTGTCCCGAGCCCATCCAATCTCATGTTTCTTAAGCCCTCTAGTAGTGGAGGTGGCCTCGTGGTGAGTGCATAGATCTGGAGCCCCTTGAGCATAAGGGAGCAGAGCAGATGTCCGGCCACCCTCGGTGACTCTAATGTGAACCTACTTAAGGTGTGTGTGCATATGCTGCATATCTTTAAATCTTTCAGCAAAGACGGGGAACTGGTCAGAGGTAAGGTTTAAAGCCCTTAGGGTTTGCAGCTGCCAGTGTGCACATAACAGTTTTGTAACTTCAGCTCAGTTGTGTTTTTATGCAGCACCCGAAGCCGTGGAAGGAGAGAGGTCAGCGTCGTTAAAAAAGGTTACGCAGGAAACACAGTTTGTCTCCCAAATCTAAACTTGACTCAGCTGCTCACACATCTGTCACATGCATGTGTATTTGTTTTTGTTTAGTGGAATGGGAGAGGTGGAGGAAGTACAGGAAGTGACAGGAAGTTTAACATTTAGAAGTTGGGCAAGTTCGTGTGTCCTTGGATGTCTTCTAACACTCCCATGAATATACAGGCACATGCAATGAAAGACAGAAAAAAAAGAAACATGGTTTATCAGGGTCATCCAATCACAGAGGGATCGCTCTCATCCACACCAGAAAAACTCCCTGCTTCCCTGACCTTCAGATGTCAGCCATGTATTTACCCTGCTCCAACACAGCAGTTTGTTGGCATCAGTCCTGGATCAGGATCATCCTAAGGTCACCCAAAATCTATTTAACATTTCTGCCTTCAGTTTTTCAGTTTCTTTTCTTTCGTGCACTGTGTGGAAAGTGTGTGAAAAGTGTGAAAGTTCTGTCCAACTAGTAGCTGCAAGGGTCACACAATGAATTCATGCGTTTGAATCCACCCTTGCCTTTCATACTCAGGAAGCCCATATGTAATAACAGTTATCACAGCTCTTCAGTCTCTGCAGGGAAATCAATAGGATGGGTTCGCCTTGCTCCAGTGCCCCATAAGTTGTTCTATATGCATTATTCATCACTCCACTGTGCCACTCCAGGTCCCATTTAATTACACTCTGCCACATAGTTAACCACTGCAGTCATTACTAAGATAATGCTTTGTCTTCTGCTTCTTTCTGTGTGAGTGTGAGTGTGTGTGTGTGTGTGTGTGTCTGTAAGGGAACATACAATGATGGATAGCAGTTTTCCATAAGTGAGGTGAGCAGGGATGTGGTCAGGCTTGACCCTGAGGGACTCTCTGTACCAGTGACCTGCTTCCTCCAGCCTGTTCAGCCTCATGTAGGCTTCTCCTGAAAGGAGAGAGGAGAATGGAAAATATCAATAATAAAAGGAACTTGTTTTGTGTTTTTTTTTTAGCATATGCATTTTAAGATTTCTTTTATTTAAAAAATGTAGGTGGTGCCACACTTGGCACCTTGCCTCCCCAAACACAAAAACATGTGCTAAACTATCTGGCTTAAGCCATATTCACCAACACTCTTAGCTTCCCAGTCACCCTGGTGTTTTGACTCTTGTACACTTGCTTGTATTTACACACTTATTTCATCAAGGGGCTTTGCCTTTTTCAGTGAAAATAAGAACCTGTTCTTGATTAAAGTACAAGAAAAAAAACTAAACCAAAAAAAAAAAAAAAACCAATAACATATATATAATACCATATTTTAGAATTGAGTACAGTGAGGTTCTAGAGGTAAAAATCTCATTCATATTCTCATATTCTTGATTATGAGCCATAGTGTTAGAATCATCCAAAGAAGACTTACTATAAGCTGAGCCTTTGTGATGTGATGGCATGTGCTCATAACAGAAACTCACAATACTAAATTGGAACAGTGACACCCCTGATTTATGGAGGTCAGTTTTGGCTTGGTTCAAGGCTTAAAACATTTTTTAAGCAAGGACGTTCAGAAACATCAATGGGGAAATTGAATGGGCAATCGGTTATTAGATTTGGAGCCTTTACAAAAGGTGAGCACTGTTCCACTCTATACTATATATTAGACTTATAATTGTTCTTGCTCTTTGTGGGTACTGATTCTTGTCAGTTTTAATCAGTTTTTGTTTTTTGTTTTTAGATTCTTTTCTCTTTTATTTCAGCATTTCATTTTTCCAGTCAGTTTTTGTAGCTCCTACAATACTAATCTATTTAAGGGTGCTTATTTTATCCTATTTGATTCTTCTCCTTCTGATCTTTTTTGTCTTTTTAGTCTTCTTTAAGGTGCTTTTAATCTATAATTAATTGCATTGTTTTTATTACATTTATTCTGACTTGTTATTAGCTCGTCAGTCATCTGTGAAGCTCTTTGAACTTCATCTAACAGCAGAACATGCTGCAAGTCTAACTGATTAATTTATTCATGGATGTTAACTCTGCGCTGTCTGGATCTGAGATAAACAGATAATGATGTAATGCTGGTTCTCATTATAAGGGCTCGCTGTAATAGGTCATTTGAGCAACTTCAAATTCTTCTTAACCCCATGTTGACTGAAGTGACCACAATGTAGATAAATCTGAAGTTTCTCTGAAAGGACAAAAGCTGGTTATAAAAACTCAGAGATGTTGTTGGATGTGAGGGCATGCTCTTGGCCCCGAGAGTAAGAAGATAGGCTGATGACATATACTCAGTATCCCCTCCCATTACACTAATTCAAACACTCTTCCTTAATCCCTCTCTCCACCTGACTAAACACAAATCTTATTTTCCTTCAGCCTGCCTGTCAAAGGAATTTATGCAGACATCTCCCTGCAATCTCAACTATGTCATCGGGATGAGTTTACAATAATGTAATTAGTGTTACAATAACAAAGAGGGCGATGTGACTCGTTCCACAGATGAGCTTCACTTCTCCTCAAGAGGACACAAAGTGTGTGCACACATCGTTTTTGAGTTACAGTGGTGGAATCCAACAGGTGGGGTTCCTCGGCAATGATTAAATGGCAATTTGTTTAACTCACATTTTAAGCTCTCACAAGCCAGAAGGCCAACACTTGAGACGGGAACAATAATGTCAGATTGCACAGCTTTAACTCACATTATTACTGTGTTCTTCACAGCTCATGAATGTGTAATTTTATAGATCAAATGGTAGCGTTATCTCATCGAGATGCTTATTAACATTTCAAGCTGGAATCACCTTTGTAGTGATTTTTAAAAATAGATTTTTTTTATTACTGTTTAAAACAGATATTATATGTGAAAAAAAAGCTAGTCGCTCACCCATCATGTTGAAAAGGCTGTGTGGTGCAAACTGCCTCGGCATTTTCTGCACTGCCTCCTTGAAAATAGACAAGGCCTCCTGTAGAAAGAAAATAGTTAATTCAGCTAGTTCAGTTTTCAGTTCGCGTCACCATAATTGTGGCCTTTAACTAAGTAGTTAAATCACAAGCGGCACGGACAAAGTCCTAATGGAAAGTGTTACAAAAATTATTTTGGTCCTTCTCTGTTTATTCATGTTATGAAAGCTGAGATACAAAACAAGTACTTCTCAGCTCCTTCAAATATTCGCTGGGCCCTTTTCCCACAAACGGGACACACTGACCTCCTGCTGGCCCTGTTCATGGAGCAGTTTTCCCAGGTTGTACAGGCAACTGGTGACGGAGTTCTTGTGAGCGTGAGGATCCTTCAAATTCTCATCGGGAATGTCAGCACAAGTAAGGAAGGTGCGTTTGGCCTCTTCCAGGTGGCCCTGGTTCATCAAAATTATTCCTATATTCAAGTAGGCCGCTGTGAGTTCAGAGTGAAGAAAAAGCAGCTTCAATTAAAGGCATGTGAAATGA